AAATTACCTGCAAATTATGGCACTGAAGTATCCCATTCATTTCAGTTTCAGGAATGCACACAACCTGTTCGATAAAATTACCAACAGAAGATTTTCCCTCCAAACTCCATTATTTAGTTTATACTGCAGTACATTATACCACACTGCTGCCTCTATAAAAGACCCAATTGAATTTTATGGTGAATTTAAGGATTTGGTGCATTGGACTTCAACCATTTCTGGTTTAGTGAGTCGAAACCGCCCGAAAGATGCCATTGATGTGTTCAAGTTGATGCTTTTCAATGAACAGAGGCCGAATTATGTTACAATATTGAGCGTGCTACGGTCTATCAATGTATTAAGGTGGAAGAACATTGCTTTCTGTGTTCATGGGTTGGTGATCAAGATGGGATTTGAATGGGAGATTTCAGTTGTGACTGCTTTAATTGGTGTTTATGGTAATGTTCATACCCCTTTTGTATGGAAGCTTTTCTTTGATGTACCTAAGAAGGATTTGGTCTTGTGGAGTGCGATGGTTTCGATATGTGTAAAGAATGGTGAATATATGGGTGCTATTGAGGTATTTAGGAACATGATATGTGAAGGGATGGAACCTAATCTTGTGAGCATTGTGAGTATTTTGCCAGCTTGTGCTAAGCTTGATTCACTGATATTGGGAAAACAAGTTCATGGGTTTGGTCTTAAAACATCATTTTATTATTTAAATAACATCCAAAACTCTCTCATAGACATGTATGCAAAATGTAGGAATTTCAAGTATGCAGCTCAAGTCTTTGCTCGAGTCCATGAGAAAGATGTAGTCACTTGGAAGACGATGATTCGTGGATGCATTGACAATGGCTACTCAAGAGAAGCATTATTTGTTTTCGCTGACATGCACAAGTCTTTGCTCTGAAATAGATAATGGCATTTTCTGTGGTGTTATTGGTGCAGTATCTGATACAGAAGAGTTTATATTTGGACTTGGGTTGCATTGCTATAGCTTAAGATCTGGCTTTGCTGTATCCGTTTCTGTTGGGACAGCTCTTCTGCAAATGTATGCAAAGTTTGGTGAAGTGAAACCATCTTGGTTACTGTTTGATCAGCTTCATCCAAAGGATCTCATTGCTTGGACTGCAATGATATCTGCATATGCTCAAAGTGGTTACACGAGCGAGGCTCTAAGTACATTTAAGCATATGCAATCAGCTAGTGAGAAGCCTAATGAAGTCACTTTTGTCAGTTTGCTACAAGCTTGTTCTTCATCAGGCACTCAAGAGCTTGGTGAAAGCATCCATGGTTATGTAACTAAAGCTGGTTACTTGCATAATTCATTCTTAATCTCAGCTTTAATTGATTTATACTGTAAATTTGGAAGAACAAAGGAAGGAAGAGCACTCTTTGACAAATGTTCAATCAAAGACCTGATAATATGGAGTTCAATGATTAATGGGTATGGATTAAATGGTTGTGCAAATGAGGCTTTGGAAATTTTCTCAAACATGTTGGAAATTGGAGTAAAGCCCAATGATGTAGTTTTTGTATCGGTCCTGTCTGCCTGCAGCCATTGTGGGTTAGAAGACGAGGGATGGCACTGGTTTTTTTGCATGCAAGAGAAGTATGGAATTGTGCCAAAAGTTGCTCATTATGCTTGCATGGTTGATTTGCTGAGTCGCCAAGGAAATGTTGAAGAAGCTCTTGATTTTGTATACAGTATGCAAGTAGAGCCTGATAAGAGAATTTGGGGGTCTCTTCTGGCTGGATGTAGATCAACTCATGTATCAATCACCGTAGTAGAACGTGTTGCTGAACACCTGATTAGATTAGATCCAAAAGATACAAGCTGTTATGTTGTTTTGTCAAACTTTTATGCAGAAGAAGGTAGATGGGATGATGTTGAGAGGGTAAGAAAATTGATTGATGATAAAGGAATGGAAAAGATGACAGGATACAGCACTGTTTGATAATATCTGATCAGCTGCTGGATATGTTACAATTTCATAGAAGGTAAATCTACCATTTTTATACCCTCCTTCGAAAGAAGAAAATATCTTTTTGAGAAGATAATTGTGAGTTTGTGACTAGCACTACAAGCATTTTGAATACTTTCTTTCTGGTTCATAATTTTTGAGTGATAAATTCTGTCAATTGATTACTGTTGTAATGTTATTCTGAAGTCTGAACTCTCACAAAAGAAAACCTCAGGATTTAGAGATTTAAATCCTTGGGCCTAAACACGGTAAGTTAAACTGTCTTACCCTTATACTTGCTATGCCACATAAATTGATGGCTATTGTATAGTTCAATCCTAAAAAACCCTTAAAAAGTTCCTTGGTATGATGAAGCTTTTGCAAGTGCTTTCTAATATTTTTTTTTTTTTTTAAAATGTTCTTCTAATTTTACAGAACTTATAACTTAATGTGCTAAGAATAGGTTTCATTATTACTTTACTTTCCCATGTTTTATAACTAGTAACCATAATTATTTATGTTATGGAGTACTAGCCTCAGTAAATGTCATGTTAATTAGCAGGTTTGTTATGTTTAAACTTGAATGATACTAAATTAGACATTTATTGCTCATTTAATTCTCTTCTTCAGCTTTCTTATGAAGAACAAAACTCTTCTTATCATATATTCCACCAGAATATTTAACTTTTTTTTGCTAGCCAGGGTTTTTTCACAATGGAAGGTGGTATCCTTGAAGTACTAGTTGTTAATGCAGAAGGAATCAAACCAAGAAATTTATTTGGTAAGGCTTCTTGTCTTTGTGAGAAGCATGATTTTTCTATTATAGAGCTGTATCTTAGGACGTTTTAGGGTGGAAATATTTATATGTTTAAATTTTGAAACAATTCTGATCTTATTTGGATTGTTGTTCAACTGATGTTATCTAATTCTTTGTTCCTAGGTAAACCGGCCTATTATGTAGTTATACAATGTGGCACTGAAGTGAGGAGGAGCAAGGCTACCAGAGGTCTTAGTCAAATTTATTTGAGCTTATACTTAATAATTTTGTTGTTGTTATAGTTAACCATAAACTCAATGCTGAAAACTACAGGTTATCACCATGAAGCTTTTTGGAATCAGAAGTTCGAGTTTGACTTTTCATTTTCTGAATGGAAGAATTTGACTCATCTGGAAATCAGTATAATGGATGATGAATCTTTCAACGATACTGGATTTGTTGGTCGTTCTATGTATGTCAACAAACACAACCTTTATTCACTTGTCTGATAAAGTCTCATGGTTTCAGTTCCTTTCCTGTGATGCAGGATTTTTCTGGGTGGGATTATTGAAGAAGGAAATGACAGGGGAATCGTCGAATTACATCCTTCAGCATATAATGTTGTGCATGAAGACACCACATACGAAGGAGAAATTAAGATTGGGCTTAAATTCGAAGCTTATGTGAGTACTATTTTATTGTCCTGTTTTAATTCAGGGCCGAAATTTAGGTCGGAGGGGCAGTAATGTACCACTCCTTTCCTCCTCTCTTAAATTGGTCCCCCTAGCTAAAAAGTTGTGTTTGGTCCATCCCAAAGGTAGTAAAATTATGGTACTGCCACTGTTTTGATTACCTCAAGTACTTTTCCAACACTTGTATGACAATCGATTGTTGCTTGTATGCAGAAAGAAGGGCACAAAGCGACCAAAGAAGAAACTGTGCAGGTTACGAAAGCAGGACATGATGTCTATCGAAGTTTGTTTAGAGTTTTAAAGATATCGTGGTGGCGAGTACTTTTTCCCTTTGGTCCATATTGAAGCCAGGCAAGTACTGAAGCTAACAAAGGCATAAACTGTTACTGAAATCATATACATATACATTTAGGAAGATGGTTAAGGGGTTATTTGAAGGATCTCCCAAGCATTAGATTTTAAATTGCAAAGGTGCAATATTCTTTGTGATCTACTAGTTCTAAATTGTAACACTCTTATAAAACGTTTAATATCCATAACCTCTCTATCAGTCAACATCACATTGTCATTTCATTGTCCGTTATATACGTATTTTTGTACCATCCTAATGTAAGTTTGTTAATAAAATATACGGGAAATTCCCATTGGTACGCTCCAGGTTTTGACTTTTCTCAACGGTACCCTTTTTTTTTTTTTTTGACTTCGTGCTGATACACCCCAGATTTTGACTTACTAACAGCCGTGATTAGTCTGTTAATCAGACGTTAATAACCTAGTTTACTAGCAGCTTAGGTTTAAAAAAAAAGACTAATTTGCCCCCATTTAATTCATTTCCCTCTCAAATTTTCTGTTATTTCCCACCAAAACCAATCAACCTATTCCCTCCCTATAAATGCGCCACTTCCTATTCTCTTCTCCATTTCATTTCTCCATTGCTGCATTTATTATCCTCTCCATTTTTTCTCTTCTCCATTTCTCTGACACGGCTGGTTCTTCGGGTAATGGTAATGGTTCTGGCAGCAGATATGGAAGGTCCATGTGGGTCAGACGCATCTACTGTAACTGCCATCCACCAAGACATGCTGATATTGGGGTTTCGGACTCCATTTCAAACCCAGGGAGAACATATTACAAGTGCAGGCACTGTGGTCTGTTTATGTGGGTTTCTGAAGATCAAATTATGGGAAACAAAACAGGGGAAACAAATCTTGATGAGTATAATCTGAGAGTGCTTTTAGAGGAATTTACTCAATTTACAGAGAGAGCATATGAATTTGTAAGCTACATTTACATGGTTGTTAGGATTGCTCTTGTCATGTACCTTATTTTACTCTTTGTAGCTCTCTAATGATATTTCTGTGTCTTTTAGTTATGCCATGTAATTGATAGATTATGAGTACTTGAAGGTTGTATTTTATGGGTTAATGAATGAAAATTGATAAAGAATTGGCATTTTTTTTTTTGTGTTTTATGTACTTTGTTAAGTTACCATTTAATCCAAACACAGACAAAATCATAAACTAAGGACAACTTTAAATAGACAAAATGGCGACAGTTGGCTATATTCATAATAGAGATAATTCAAGAGGTTTGGGAACATTGCAAAAAACACATAAGTACCAACTACCAAAGTTAAGTTTAAAAAACCCAAGTTAACTGCAAACAAAACCTGATGTTCAGTACCAAAAACTGTAGGGAATATTTCAAACATCAACTTTGAGCCCCACTGTGATCATGCACTTAAGTATGGTGGCGTCCAAAGGGAAAGAAGCTAGAGCAAAAGAGTCGCCAACAAGTTTTAGGAACTTGTAAACCGTTCACGGGTGTGAAGGTTACACCCCATTCACGATCACGGAGATCGCTAACTCCATAGTGGTCTGGAACCATGACTGGATATTCGGGGATGATTGTACGAATCTAACCAAAAAGAGATTGACCCGCCCTAAATCGGCCTCTACTAAATTCTTATGATATTCATGTGCGCTTCCCGATCAACATACATACAACAAATTAGTTCTAAACTTGTTTAATCTACGTTGGTTGATTATTAATGCACAAATAAATCTATTATTGGTGATCACTTGAATTAAAATCATGTTAAGCCCTAAATCAAATTGTTAATTATCTTATTAGGCGTGATTTTAAGTACAAATTCCCTTTAAACCTGCAGAAAGGGCGTGATCAAACAATAACAATGAATAATAAATAATCAAGCAACGTAATGAATGACACAAAAAATCATCATCATAACAAAACATGATAATATCATCAATAGTATAATTAGCAAGATCCTAGGCATGATACTAAACGGATTAATAAACAAACCCTAGCATAATTATTCACTCACAATGAGGGAGAGGTTGAAAGATGATAATGATATCCCAGAGTTCTTGTGTGCACCCCAGAAAGATGGGTGTATCATCTTTTTTTTGATACATGTGCCTAAATTTCTAACCAGGAGGGTTATGTATGGTCCAAGTGTGGGATTCTATACTGATACAGAATCTGAGGGGGGGGGGTCCACTTCATTAGGTAGTTATATGTCTGCTGACTTAGTTGCCACATCATCGGATAAGGAAAGGGTAAGACACAGTCAGCTCAAAATGATGACATAGGACAGAAAAGAGTGGATTAAAGGAGGAGCACATGCTAATGAATGCAGGAACCCTAGATCTGGAAAATATAAGCCCACCCATTCCCATTTCTTCCCACATCCCTGTCTTGAACATAAATGAAACTGCTGCCTCTCAACCCAACCCTTCTTCAACCCAGAACCAAAAAAAAGGGAAGCTGGTCCTGAAATAAACTCAACAGCCAGTTGTTTCTCTTGACTCCATTCTAGAAGTAGGTGAAGAGAATCCTGCTACTCACAGTGACGGGGATGAGGATGATGATGTGGTTTTGAGTGATCTTGATTTTGAAGATGAAAGTGATGAATGACCTGTTTGCCGCCAATGTTGATGAGGAGATAACTGAAGATGTGAATAGAAGTTTGGTGAGTATTCATACTAGGCAGCAAAACAGTCATAGAGGTGATGACCAGGGTGAAGTACAAGTTGAAGATGATGATGACTTGAATGATAGTCAGGATGAGTTGGATAGTCCAGCTGGTTCAGATGATGAAGAAGTTAGGTACCCTGTTTTTAACCCTGATGTTGACTTCAAGAGGAAGATTAACCTTACTGATGGGTTGAAATTTGCTTCACATATGGTGTTTAGAAAGGCATAAAGACACACATGCAATAGAGAATGGATACAGTTACATGCTTTTTCACAACAAGAGTAAGAGGATAACTGTGTACTGTGCTAAAAGGTGTGCATGTAATTTTGTCTCTGGAAAATTTTTTGCATGTCATTGTCCAACTAGAAGGAAGTGTTTGTTTAGGATACATGCTAAGAAATTAAAAGATGAGGAGACTTTTCAAATTAAAAAGTCTTATGCTGGAACATAAATGTGGGCATTAGCATGTAAATACACATGTTACTAGTGAGTATCTGGCTGAGAGATATTTGGAGGATTGGAGGGATGACCCCACATATAAAATGAGTGCTTTCATGAAGAGAGTGAGAAGAAAATTAGGTGTAGAACTTGGGTATTACAAGTGTTATTATGCAAAAAAAATGGCATTGTAAATAATTCATGGGAATGCAGCAGAGGAGTACAAGAGAGTATGGGATTATGTTGAAGCAATCAGGAGGTACAATCCAGGTAGCACTGCAGTTGTGAAGCTACAAAACATCGACAACTCTCCACCAATTTTTCCAGAGGATGTACATTTGCTTGCAACCATGTAAAGAGGGATTCATGGCTGGTTGCAAGCCCATTTTAGGTGTGGATGACTGTCATCTAAATGGACCTTGGCCTGGGATTTTGCTTACTGCTATTGCTAAACATGGTAACAACAATATTTTTCCAGTTGCTTGGGCTGTTGTAGAAACAGAGAGCTCAGAAACCTGGACTTGGTTTCTTGAGTTGTTGGTCAATGACATAAGCTCTGTTGCTGCATCAGTGACTTGGGTGCATGAGCATGAAGATCCAGTTACCTTCATGAGTGACAGAAAAAAGGTAACTTCAATGCTTTCATGAAATTGAGTGAGGATTGTTCTGTGCCAATTATTAACATTGCACTATGCAATAATTGCAGGGCCTGCTTGATGCTTTCAACACAGTTATCCCAAATGCAAAAACAAGGTTTTGTTGCAGACATATTTGGGCAAACTTTAAGCTCGAATTCCCAGGTCAGATATACAAAGAGAGCTTCTGGAAGGCTGCAAGGAGTTCTACTAAGGTGTGTATGTCTTACTAGTTTGTTTCCTCCACTTGAATTTAAAGCTCAAACTTTATACATGTACTGGATGATCAGTTTTTTTTTTTCCATTCATCATCAATTGACAAACATATGCAAGAGATTAGGAAGTTGAGTGAGGATGCTTTTCATATCTTTCTGAGATACCAGTTTGTCACTGGTCTAGACATGGCTTTAGTCCTAGGGCAAAGTTAGGGATGCTGCTAAACAACTGCTGTGAAAGTTTCAACAATGTCCTTAGGGAAGCTAGGACAAAGCCAATCTTGTCTTTAATGGAGTGGATCATAAGATATGTCATGAAGAGAAGTTGTGCTAAGAGAGAAGGCTTGAAAGATTTTTGAAGGTTTAATCATGCAATCAGTTGTGAAGATAATTGAGAGAGGGCAGAAACAGATTTGGAACATGAGAGTAATTCAAGTAGATTTGCATGAATTTGAGGTGGATGATGAACAAGAGACATTTGTTGTTAATCTTGAAAACAAGACTTGTGGCTGCTATAGGTGGACTTTGATGGGTATCCCATGTTGGCATGCCTTAGCTTGCATAGCCAAAAGAAGACTCAACTATGAAGATTTTATACACCCAGCCTATCATATTGCCACTTATGCTGCTACATATGCTCCAGCATTTCATGCAATGCCAGGACATAACCAATGGGGTGATTCTGATAGGCCTCAGCCTTAGCCCCTGTTTATAGAGCCATGCCAGGTAGACCCTCTAAAAAGAAAAGGAAGAAAGCACAGGGAGAGGGAACAGGGAAGAATATGAAGAGAGCAAGGAAGCCAAACACATGTGCCAGATGTGGTGGCAAAGAGCACAATGCCAGGAAGTGTTTCAGGCCTCTAAAACCACCACCTGCTGAAAACAAAGGTGGTAGGTCTAGGAAGCAAAAAGGGGTAGCAACCTCAACAACACAAACATCTACTGCAACAACCAACCCCTCACAGCAGCCACAATTACAGTCACTGTTGATTAGGGGATTTTTCCCCACCAATCACCATCTGACAAGTGGACCAATCAGGTTCCGCCATGTGTCCG